GAGTTTGTCGTTAATAAACACTCTTCTGATAGCTTACTAAATTTAGCAGCGTCTGGTCGTCTTTCCTTAATATATGGGACGGAGGTACAACATAGTAAAAAAAGAAAATGTACAATGAAAATTTCGGATCCTCATAAACGTCATCGTTCTTTTCCAGCCGTCCTGGAAAAGAAAAAAGAAAATGTAAGTGCATGTCGAAATACACTCGTATGTGCGTAAAAACACAATGTCGGCGGAAAAAATGGAAAATAAACTCATGAACACGTAATAGCGTTAAAAAAATTGTTTTTTTTGTTTTGTTTTTTTTTAAATAGAAATAAAAATATATAAGCATATTAAAATTGTTTTTTTTTAAAAAATAATATAAAATGTCGAGAAGTGCCTTACGTGCAATAGTCGTTTAGATGTTCTGGAAATCTCACCCTTCTTCCAGAACGCGTCGTTTTAAGTTTATTTTCGGATACTGTCGAAGTATCATCGTGTGTGTTGGTTGTCGGATGAGGTATTATAAGTGTCGGAGTCGTGTCGTTCGATTGTACCGAAGGAAAATCCACGTAGATAGGATTTCCTTCTAAATACGCTGCTTTTAAGCGATCGATGCTGGTGCTATCGTTGGTTCCGTTCTTATCGACTATATAGTACTTAGATTCACGTTGAAGAACTTTGAAGGGTCCTTCGTATGCTGATTCGAATGGTCGTCGATGCGAGTCTCGACGAACGAAAACGTGTGTACTATATCGTAAGTCAGGTTGAACGAAAACATCAGTTGATTGAGGTCGAGTGGAAGCAGGTTTAACTGAACGCATTGCGTTTGTAAGCCTGTTCGTGTGGGAGGTTAGATCCATGTTCATTGAAGAGGATGAAGGATCCACGAATTCTCCTGGAAGTCGAAGTGTCGTTCCATAAACGAGTTGAGCCGCAGTGTATTCAATGTCAGCTTTCACTGCGTTGCGGATACCTAGTAAGACGAGTGGAAGAGCGTCGGTCCATTGTGAAACGTTTGCAGCTGATAGCGAAGCTTTCAGTTGTCGGTGAAAACGTTCTACCAACCCGTTTGCTTGTGGATGGTAGGCGGTCGTTCGGAAGCGAGTGATTCCTAGAAGTGTGGTCAGACGACGGAAAAGTTCAGATTCGAACTGACGTCCGCGGTCTGTAGTGATGGTTGAAGGGCAGCCGAAGTTTGCTACCCATCGTTCGACGAAGGTGCGGGCCAGTGTTCCAGCAGTGATGTTCTTGATAAGTACTGCTTCTGGCCATCGAGTGAAACAGTCAACGCAGGCTAAGAGATAGGAGTATCCATTTGAATCTGGTAAAGGTCCTACCAAATCCAGATGAACATAGTCGAAACGAGCATCGGGAGTTTTAAACGAGCCTAAGGGACATTTATTGTGTCTGATAACGTTAGATTTTTGGCAGCCTACACAGGAGCGTGCCCACTCCCTCACGTCTTTACTCATTCCAGGCCAGCAAAACCGTTCTGCTATAAGCTTGATGGTTGCACGAACACCTGGATGCGAAGGTTTGTGCAATGTGTTGAAGACATTGCGTCGATAATGTTTCGGCACGATTGGACGATCCCTACCTGTAGATGTGTCACAAAGTAAGGTTTCCTTACCTGTTCCCATCTGTTTGACGCGAAGTTTAAGTGTTGTGGACGACAACTCGTGCTGAAGATCACTGTCTTCTTTTTGAAGCTGGGCGAGTTTCAGAAGGTCGATTCCTTGGAAACTGTTCAAGGAAGTTATGCGAGATTAGGCGTCTGCAACTACATTGTTTGCCCCAGAGATGTGTTGAATGTCTGAAGTAAACTGCGAAACGTAGTCCAGTTGTCGAGACTCACGGGGAGAGTACTTGTCAGAAGGAGAGCTTAGAGAGAAGGTGAGTGGTTTATGGTCCGTGAAAAGAGTGAATTCACGACCTTCGATGTAGTGTTGGAAATGCCGTACAGCACAATACATAGCTAGGAGTTCCCTACCGAATGTGCTGTACCTCGATTCGGTGTCTAGCAACCTTCTAGAGAAAAATGCCAAGGGTTGCCAGGAGTTGTTAACCCATTGTTGTAAGACTCCTCCGATTGCAGAGTCGGATGCGTCTACTGCGATGCTAATGGGTGCTCGGGTGTCCTGATGTGCGAGCATTGTTGCTTTAGCAATCAGTTCCTTAACTGTGTAGAATGCTTTTCGTGCGGTGTCGTCCAAATTAATGGATTTCGCATTTCCACGAAGTTGGTCGGTCAGAGGTTTCATAAGTAATGCGCATTTCGGTATGAAACGTCTATAGAAACTTACCAGGCCGTTAAACGTGCGTAATTGCTTGACGGTGGTCGGTTCTGGGTAATCCAGAATGGCCGCCACTTTGGTCCTAAGAGGTCGAATGCCTTGAGCATCGATAGTGTGTCCTAAGAAGTCTAACGAGTCGGTTCCGAATTGGCATTTCTGAACGTTTACAGTAATGCCGTGTTTTTGAAGTCGTTCGAAAACAAGATCCAGATGCTTGAGATGTGTTTCTCTGTCCGGACTTGCGATTAGACAGTCATCAACATACGCGTGTACGAAGTTGAGACCTCGAAAAACGTCGTCTATGAATCTTTGGAATGTTTGAGCAGCATTCCTTAGACCGAAAGGCATTCGCAAAAATTCATAGAGTCCGAAGGGAGTTATGATAGCTGTTTTCGGAATGTCGTCAGTAGCCATAGGTACTTGGTTATACGCTTTAACCAAGTCTATTTTCGAAAAAACAGTTGTACTTTTCAAGGTAGCTGTCAAATCGTGAATGTGAGGCAACGGGTAACGATCGGGAGTGGTTTTCGCGTTCAATCGCCGATAGTCACCAGTTGGACGCCAATCGTTGCTGTCCTTTTTAGGGACCATGTGCAACGGAGATGCATATGGGCTACTTGACGGTCATATGATTTCTAAGTCTATCATGTGATCGAATTCGTTTTTCGCTAACCTTAGCTTTTCAGGAGCTAGTCGTCGTGCTTTAGAGAATACAGGTGGTCCTGTAGTCGTGATGTGATGTGTGACGTTGCTGGTTACACACGGTAGTTTCGGTTGAGTTTGTTGTATCCCAGGGTACTTATCGAGAAGTGGTTGATAGAGTGGGTCTATCATATGTTTAACTGTGACTGGGGATACTCTGCAACCAGTAAAAGAAGTTACGCAAACGGACAAATTAGTGTTTCCGTCTACTAGCCTCCGTTTGCGCGTGCCGATGATCAGATTGTGGTGTTGTAGAAGGTCCATACCAATGATTGGCATAGAAACATCTGCAATAACGAAAATCCAGTGGATGGGTTTGCGTAAACCCACGTTAAGGTAAACGTACCTTTTGCCATACGTAGCGATCGGTTTTCCGTTTGCCGCCTGTAAGTTAAGGGTCGATTCGTGTAGTCGGTCGTTAGGATTTGCTGGGAGAACGCTAACTTCTGCGCCAGTGTCGACGAGGTAGCGAACTCTCGTTGTCAGATCTGTGACGTACAACAGACGGCTATGTTCGCCGGCTACGGTCGCCGTTAACACGTGCCGGCTTGGAAGTTTCCCGAATTGTTTTTCGAATCAGTCGGTTTCGTGTTGAGAAAATTGCAGGGTTTTCTGCAATTTCTGGAAAACTTTCCATACTGGTTATGATACCAGCACCAGTCGGGGTTATCTGTCTCTCGTGGTCTAGAGACAGATCGCTTACGAGAAATGCTTCTACGTGGTGTGCGCGATCTCTTACGGTCGGTACGAAGACTAAGATAACGCGTGAGTGTGTGACATAAGTCGGTTATATCATTCTGAGTCGTTTGAGGTTTTTCTTTGACTGAAAATACCTCGGTAGTCGAAGATTTCGTAATTTCTAAAATGCGGTCGGCAGATGCAGCTAGCTCGTCTAAGGCGTTGTTCTGGAACGAGACCAGAACTGCTTGCACCTGTTGGGGAAGTTTTGACAAGAAGAGTTTTTTGAATAGACCTTCGTCGAAAGTTCTTGGGCCTATAACCTCTCTCATCCGTTACAACATGTCTGTCGCAGAACCGTGTTGCAGGTCGATATTGTTGAAGAGTTGATCTAACCTTTGTCGATCGGTTAGGTCTCCTCGTCTAAGAATCGAGCGTTTTAAGATTTCGTAAGGATCGGAAACATCACTAGTAAACATACTAGGTGTTACGTACCTGTTGAATTCGCGCGGTAGTGCCTTGACTACTGCGAGGAATTGTGCACGTGTGTCGATCACGCTGTGCTCGTGGAAGTCGGCTTCTGCGTAGCAAAACCAGGCTTCGATGTTGTCGGGTCAGAAAGGCATCAGTTGAAACGAAGGCGGGGACAAAGTCTTAAGCTTGAGTACTTTAGATGTCTGTTCAGTCATGATGAAGTATGAAGTACGATAACGAACGAGGGGAAAATATACATATATCCAAGAAAAAACACGAAAAACAATCACAATGTTTAAAAAAAATAAGAAAAAATAAGGCAATGATATATAAAAATCCCAAAAAGGAACAGACTCACAGTTGCAATAAGGTGTACCAGATCACGTCGGGCTCACCAATGATGATGTCACAGGTATTCAGTGTTTGACAACGCTTCTACCAGTAACACCTTCTAATATATTTCGTTCCCGTCCAGAGAAATCAAAAGACAGAGTCGAGGAGATCGGAAGAGTGTATTTGGCGATGACCAATATATCGGAATTCTCTGATCTAATCTGGCTAGCGATTGCGGTTGATGTTGACCACGGCGTTACCACACGTGATCTGGTGCGGATGCCTGACCGAGCGCCTTCAGCTAGATGAGTCCACTAAAACATATGGTCAGCATCCAATGTCGAAAACTTAGAGCTATTTATTTTGGGGATTTATTTACCGCTACAGCTTCTTTTATTCTGTCCACAACTATTTGAACCATTTGAAGAAAATAATACTCCATTATATAGTAAAGTACATTTAGGTCTCTACCTAGAGTCAGTAGTGATTCTATGGTACTTATTTAAGCGAAAACATCTCTGCCATTCACAGCCATTTGAATTCCCTGGACATGTTGTTACACCGTTCAGACTACTGAGCGGCTTTTCTGTTTAGAACGTTACGCCTTGGTGTCATCGCTGCCTATACTCTGAAACATGGATTTTCAGTCAAAAATTTCCAAACCTATTGATAGAGTTCAGGTCGAAGGGAAGGTGTTCTTAAAAATGATCAAGCACTATGAAGAAGAATCTGTATCTAGCCAAAATTTTGTCAATGGTGTATTGTTAGGGCTTGCACAAGGCAGCCAACTTGAAATCACGAATTGCTTCCCATTACCTAAGACTCAAGAAGATGACCCAAACGCCAACGAGGCTCTGGTCACTTATGAAGCTAATATGATACGTAATTTGAGACAAGTAAGTTCTGGAAGATCTTGTAATACATTTGTAGCTACAAACAGATTACCTTAATGTAGGATTTTATCAAGCTGGTCCTGGAGGCGTCTCTATTAACCGTGCTAACATTGAAAACATTTATCAACGCCAAATTAATCTCCCTGAGTCTGTGTTGCTCACTTATGACCCAACAAGAACTAGCAGAGGTCAAATTGGTCTGAAAGCGTATCGTCTGTCTGACGATGTTCTTGCTGCAAGATCCGAAGCGGAAGATCGTTTTCGTCTGATGGGCCACAAGGTTTGTCCGTATTTTCGTGTCACTTCATGGTGTTTGGTTCGTCTGACAATTATTGTCTGTGGAACTTGCGTAGTCTAACTAAACCCTTAGTCACATGATGAGACTAGCTCCTTACAAATTGGTCCAAGTTTTATGGTAAACATTTGATTTCGCTTATGGTCCTTCTTGCTTTACTCACTTCTATACGCTGGTCCTAGGTATATATAAGCTGACCAATCCAATAATTACCTAGTTAAACCAGTGGAAGATAAATTATCTTTCAGCCTACAATTAGACAGCATTTCAGTCTTCAGTAATAAGGATAGGAGGTCTATTGACCTATATTAATCCTTGCAGTTTGTAATACTGTGGAGGTCCAACCTCGTTTTGAATATATTAACAGAAGGTGCTGATATTACGTGTTCAGGTGGAGAACTCCAGTAATTCACTACTCGGTGCGAGAAACGGAACTCCAGACGTAAACGATTTGGTCTCGGTTTTTGAACTTTCTTCGAATGTCCTCTCAAATGATCAGTCCTAGACGGAAGCAAGAGATAAGACATGTTAATACCAAGGTCATCGTTCAGTATACGATAAACCAATATTAGATCACCCCGTATTCTACGGTAAGATAACTGAAATGAGTTAAGGTGTCTCAGTCTGTCTTCATAAGATAGACCAGACAGACCTTGTACCATCTTAGTACCTCATCTTTGGACTCTTTCCAGCATATCTGCTTCGTACTTGAAACAAGGACACGTTGCTTGAATCCCGTATTCTAAATGTGGTCGCACATGAATCGGGTATAGTAATCTAAACATTTCATCGTCTAAATACTGGAAAGGCCTACAAATTGACCATATTGCCCTATAGCCTTTTGCAGCAGCAGCCTTACAGTGACTAGTGGTTTTGAGATCATTGCTTAGTATGACTTCTAAATCTTTATAGTTTCTTTGGGTAGTACGAATCCACGTAGTGTATAGTGATACGATTCGTCAGAGTTATTTAACTGCATCACTACACTCTTATTAGGGTTTACTCCTAGTGACCACCTGTCTAACCATGTCACCAATGAGCTAAGATCATCCTGTAATACCATTCTATCCAACATACTATGGATGGGTCTCCAGATTTTTATGTCATCAGCGAAGAGTAGGACGGATGATTTTGCTACAGTTGGCAATTCATTTACGTAAAGTAAAAAGAGAAGAAGACCTAGGATTGTGCCTTGGGGAACCCCAATTTTTACAGGTACCCACGAGGAGAGAGCCCCATTAACCCTTACCCTTTGTCTCCTGTCATGGAGAAAGTTACTTATCCAATCGACGACTGTGTTATGGATTCCAAAACGTTTCAGTTTGAATTTAAGACCAGAGTGTGAAACCTTATCAAAGGCTTCACTTAGATCTATGAAAATTACATCCACAGGAGCATTCCGATCCTTTGCCGCAGCCCACTCTTCTCGTGCAATGAGAAGATTTGTCAAGCAAGATAGGCCTTTCCGAAAACCATGTTGTGCCCTGGAGAAAAGATTTTGCCCTTCAACATAGTTTATAACAGCTATCCGAATGATTTTCCCCATCAGTTTCACAACTGCACTAGTTAAGCTAACGGGTCTATAGTTACTAACTAAATCCCTACTCCCAGCCTTATACACCGGACTTATTATGGCGTCTTTCCAGTCTCTAGGAAGTCTGGACTGTCTCAGAGACATGTCGAATAGTATCGCTAATGGTTCAGCGATTTCATCTGATATGGCTTTCATAATCCTAGGATGAATATCATCGGGACCACTGAATTTATCAGGTTTGAGATGCTGAAGTAGCCTTAAAACAGTACCTTTCTCAATGACTACAGGATCCATCAACGAGCCGCCACGGTCGCGATGAATCGTTGGTCGTTCCTCATTACCGATAGAAAATACTTTACTAAAATATTCCGATAAAGCTTCAGCCTTTTTGGCATCATTTTCTGCCAAGATTAACGGATTTTCTTGTATCAAAAGTGATGGGATTCCATCGCTTCTTTGAGTTCGCCTTTTTATATACGAGAATAACCGTCTCAAACTATATCTAGAATCCCTAACCAATTGTTTTTCGTATGATAGTCTAGTCTTACTTATTAACGCTTTACAGGTATTCCTAATCTTACAATAACTGGATCTGTATTGTTCTGGGCCAGTAGAAATGAACATATTCCAGTGTTTCTTCCTTTTCCTAAGAAGTTTCCTGACTGGTTTAGTTATCCATGGTGGACTGTTAGTCGGTCTTCGTGGCACCAGGTATGGTTTGAACGGAGAAGTAACTAGACTAAACTTACCTTTAAATTCAGACCATGCTTCTTCAACTGATAAGCTAGTATCTACAAACCAATCTGTCTTAGCGGCGCATTCTTGAACGGCTGATATGTTAGCTTTCCATACATTTGGGCGCGGTGTAACCTGGTCGTATAACATGTCCCTAGTTCTAAACGCGAATGACAAAACAGCGTGATCGCTATTCACTAACGGTGGAAGAATATTTAGTTCGACAATATCCTCAGTCTCATGAGTGATTACCAAGTCCAACAGAGAAGAACCTTGGTTAAGACCAAAACGTGTGGGTTTGGATACATGCTGCACTAATGCATGCTCCATTATTGTTCTCAGGAACCTACTATCAAAGGAGTTTATAGATCCTTCTGTGCTCATCTCAGTCCAACTAATATCAGGTGCATTAACGTCTCTTATTACCAAGCATATGTTATTTGCACTCCAAAAATGTACTCTAAAATAAAATCATCAGCTAAGCAGATTGGGCTGCGATAGATGACACCTAGCATAAATGTACTACATCCTATTGCCAACTTACAGCTAATAACTTCACAAGTACCGCTATCATGGAATTCACTAGCAGAGGAGCGGATATTTATGCTATTGTTTATATATAACAGGACGCCACCTCCTTTCCTACATCTATGCCTATCACTCCTGAGGTAATGGTATCCAGATAATTCAGGAGTAATGTATAAGTTATGGACTAACCAAGTTTCTGTCACTGCTACAATGAGTGGCTTTAACCTGTCCACTAGTGCTTCTAGTTCATAGAACTTATTTCGTAGACTACGAGCGTTGGCATATAAAACTCCTAAGTAGAACGGTCTATCCACACAGGCCTTGGTAGCATTCGCCTCCAAGACCTGACTATCCGAAGACTCACTAGCCGGAGATTTTCCCCACCGTTTTGCCGACGAGTTTCAAGTTCAGCTAGTGCTTCCTTCCTTTTTATTCTATCTTTGAGAGACATGTCAGGTCTAACTCGGATGTCGGAATTGTCGTGACAACGAGCGCTACTTAATAGGAGATCCCGCTGCTTCTCCGACCGAAGCCGCTACCCTGACGCGGTGGTCGGGCTTGCCTATCGTGATGACCCAACCAAGTTATATTGGCTGGAACATATGTTCCTGTAGGTTCTACCATGCCAGGCAGGTCGATTGGAGAACGGTAAGACTAAAAGCTGCAACTGAAGGTCTGAGGGCGAAGTCGTACTGCTGACTGTAGAGGGGTGTGACAGCAGTAAGGTGTTTCCCTCGGACAACCAGCATCTGCAGCGATGCTGCCTTCCCACAAGGAGGGGTGGGGTTAGAAAAGGTCGACCTTAAAAATGTCACACCTCACCTTACCTCACGGATTTCCGTCTCCGGCGGTAAGGCCCTTTCAAGAACGGAGCTAACACATTAAAAACCTTCCACAAAAAGGCCGTGCGCGACCGGCCTCAAGCAGTTGTCCCTTGGGCTCTGTGGTCACGCTCCAGGTCGTTAAAACCAACACCAATCCGACTTCTTTTTCAGGTTCCTCAAGAAATACCCTTCCACGGTGTGGGCAGCCGGGAAGTGATATCAGCCCTCATACCCGTGACGCTTCAAGACTTGGAGTTCCTTGCGGACTTCCGTCTCATTTGGTGGATCATTCGTCACCGGCCATGGAGGGCAGGACAGTCTGACCGATGTTGCCGGAGCAGCAGGCCAGTTGAACTGCCCTTCAAAAAATTCTGCCCATTGTCCAAGACGTCGATGGATCTTAGTGATTGGCATCCCATCATCCTCGTAGATTGTTTCGCTCACACCAGACTTCTTGCTGCCAGTGGCTCGGATAAGTTGGAAGAGCTTCCGGTAATTACCAGATGCAGCTGCTGCTTCCAGCTCATTAGCACGCTCCGACCACCAGGCTTCTCGGTCCTTACGCAAGCTTTGCCCAATTTTACTACGTAACAACCTTCGTTTGTGGTCAAACTCACGGTTACCCGGAGTAGACCGACGGGCTTCAATGAGTTGTAAGGAACCAGAAGAAACCCAGTGCTTATAAGCGGGACGTTTCGCGAACCCACAACTGACTGTACCCGCCATTTTCATGGCGTCATGCAATTGTAACCAATGCTCATCTATACTTTTCGGTGGAATGGTAGCTAGCCTAGAAACTAGCTCGTTTCGATACTTACTAGCAACAGAAGTTGCAGCCAGCTTGCTAACATCAATCCGTTGGTGGGGGTCACTTCGTTGTCCACTGAAAAGTAAGGTAAGATTGGCGCAGACCAAGGCATGGTCAGAGTCCAGATAGGTACTCCAAAAGGAGCGGGAGTCTTGTACACAACCACGCCAGCGGTAGCTGATCGCGATGTGATCAATCTGAGTCCAGGCTTGAGATGCAGAGGGAGGACGCCAGGTGGCGAATCGGCGATGACTGTGCCGGAAGTTAGTGCTAGCCAGAAACAGGTTATGGTCTGTGCACAGTTGCAGTAGAAAGTCCCCGTTATCTGACCTGCAACCAACGAGTCCCCATCGGCCACCTAAACGACCCTCTTCTGTGCCTAGACGCCCGACCTGAGCATTCAAGTCCCCGGCTAGTACTACAATATCTGTCGAACGCACTTTCTGGAGAAGAACAGTTAACTGGTGGTAAAACTCATCCTTGATTGCATCCGGGCTGCAATCTGTCGGGGCATAGGCGGAGATGACAAAGAGACACCGTTTCTCACGCCGATTTCTTCCCACTTTGATGGAACTCTCTAATCTAACAGCACATAACCGACTGTTAATGGAGATCCAATCGATTAGTGCTGCCTCAGCTCTAGCGCTTAGTGCGACACCTACGCCAGCAACACCAGACGAAGATGTCACAGGGTCCCCGGATAAGCGCACGCAAAACAAGCTTTTTGAAGCGACAGATGGAGGTCGAATTTGTAGTACTTCACCAGAGTCTTGAATACGGGTCTCGGATAGACAACAGACATCAATATTAAGACTTTCTAAAGACATAGCCAGCCCTATCTGTTGTCCGACCTGCATAAATGTGCGAACGTTGAAGGCAGCCAGTTTGAATGGTGCACGTGGTTTCAGAAAAACTGCTTCAGTACTCATATTCGGCGGTAACATACAATTTTCAACCGGACAGTGACTCGAGAACGTTTAGATACAGTCGAATTTCCACCATAGACGAGCTGTTGCGTAAGTCGAAAGAAATAAGTATAGACAGAGTAGGAATAAAAGAGGATGAATAATGACGTAGTAATTATTATTAATAATAATAATAATAATAATAATAATAATAATAGCAATAATAATAATTGAATCATTTGAATGTTCGTCGAAGCAAGATAATTAGTTTCCATGATCATAGACAGTTCAGTTCATTAATTGCGTGTGGGCTGCGATACTGCCCGGGTGCCCAGACCGAAGCAGGTGGTTATCTTAGGGGACCACACCCCGAGCCTTTGACCTAAAGGTCTAACTCACAAGGCAGTGGAGCATCGTAAGGAGATGCAGTCCCATGGTAGTCGGTGACCGAAAATTGGTTCATACGCCATTTGTTCCCGCAGGATACTGGTGCCCATGTGCACCATAGATTTGGAATCCGGTTAAAGCACCGGACATTCGCTTTTCGTCCTCATTTTCGTAAACAACAGTAGTGCCACGAGAAGGCAGTGAGTAGGACTTCCCTGGCAGAGGCTGTATACGCGCGGCCGTGTGAGAGTATTTCGAGAGGGAGGACGAACCCACCCCGCTCTCGGCCATACCAGGGCATTTGGCATTGATTACCTCAAGTGGTGTTCGTCAGGGCTGCCCACTCTCTCCATTCTTGTTCAACTTTGTTGTCGACGTACTTTTAGAGATACCACTTTCCTCGTCTAGATTTCCAGGGGTTGAACTTCTACCGGGAGGTTCACTTGTTGACTTAGAATATGCTGATGACATAGTTTTATTTGGTGAAGACGCTGACAAAATGCAGAGTCTTCTGACCACTCCAAGCAACAATGCAAGCATGTTCGGGATGCGATTCTCCCCCATGGAAATGCAAAATGTTGCTTCAGAATTGGGTTGCATTGACACCCGAACTAATGATAGGGAGTGAAGTAATTGAGCGTGTCGATCGCTTCACTCATCTCGGAAGTCTCATCAGCCCTTGTGGTCTGGTGTGTGACGAAATCTCAGCACGGATACAGAAGGGTCGACTAGCTTTTGCCAACTTGCGTCATTTATGGCGTAGGCGAGATATCCGTCTATCAACCACAGGACGGTTTGCTGCACAGCAGTTCGTTCCGCCCTATTTTATGGCAGTGAACCATGGCCGGTAAGAGTAGAGGATATCCGTAGGTTACTAGTATTTGATCATAGGTGTCTTCGAAATATTGCTCGTATATCCTGGGACTATCGAGTAAGTAACACAGTTGTTAGGAAACGAGTACTAGGTAAGGATGGCAAATCAATTGATGACGTCGTGAAACTTCATCAGTTGAGATGGCTGGGACACGTGTTACGTATGCCCAACGACCGACTGCCTCGACTTGCGATGTTTTATTGTATAGGAGTAGGTTGGAAGAAAGCTAGGGGCGGCCAAACCAAAACATGGCACAAATCCATGGAGTCACTGACAAGTGGACTGAGTCATGTCGGTAGGTGTAGACTACCTGGTTGGGGACCACGAGATGATAGCAACCGATGGTTAGAGGCCCTGAATGACATGGCTCAAAATCGTTTGCAATGGCGCAGGTGCATACACTCTTTGTGTTCTCCCAAATTTTGATCTCCTTATTCCTCCTTGTCTCTTTTTTTTCTCTTCCCAAATTTATTTCACTGTGTTATACTCTTTAAATAACATCTCCAAACACTAATCTTCCAGATTACTGCTTATACTCTTATTACCTCTACCACTACGGGATTTGAATCGACCACTACATCTGTGTGCTAATGTGGTGTGGCAACTCGAACTGATGTACGTACGTACGAAGTTCTACGTTGTTACTGACTGACTGACCGGCCCTAGGATTACCTTAAGGAGTCTGCATGGTCGGGGTTCAACACTGTCCTCAGTGCTCTTGCCTATTCTAACCAATTTTTTGACCTGAACTCCTTTAGAGTTATCTGGTAAAATACTACGAATATATTCTCCTAGCTTTTCTAAATCATGCGCGTGTCTAATTTTCGGATCAGGGTCGTTTGACTCCCGCAATTCGCTCACAATAATATTAGATGTTATTTGATTTTTCTTCTCAGTCACACCAGGATGGGTTTCACTCTTACCACCAGATTTTGGTAGTGCAGTTTGTGACCCACAATGGGAGTCCACCAGTGAGTTACTAACTACCTGTGTACTGCCTACATCTTTTTTCTCTTCCTTTCGTTTCCTACGTACCGTAGTCCATTTTTCATCCCTCAGGACACTGGGACTATTTGGAACGGTGACGGTTTTATCCAGTTCGTCGGTTCCCACTAAAGGTGCATTGTTACCAAAGTCAGTACCAGGTGGTACTACTCCCCCTGTTAATGTTAACGGAGATTTCTCTTTTACATCGGTCAGAGTCGGTTGTTTGAGGCATCACGTAATAGCAGGTACTACACTGACACATTCGTCACTGTCAGTGCCCGTGTTGTCAGCGCATGTGCTATCGGTCTTCTTACAGGCCAAAGCCAATAGGCTCATAGCCTCCTGTATTAGTAACGTCTTATTTGCACAGCAAAACATGCAGAGCCAATGTGAGTTAGGCTTCGAACATCTTTTGTATGCGGTGAGACTTAAACGAGTGCACATCTTATCGAACCACTTATTGCATTCATCACACTGCATTCCCTCCTCCCCAGGGAACAAACAATTTGGTTGTCCACATTTGTGAGTACTACCAACCATTTTAGTCAGATCAAGGTGTAAAACACAATATGATCACAGTATGAACACAAGTGTCAGTCAACGAATAAAAGATTACCACAAGAGAAACTCTAGCAAGATTTTAAGCCTTAACTAAAGTACTTTGATACAGACCAAGAATGCTTCCGATGTAATAAATACACAAAAGCAAAAAAAACAGTCAATACAATGTCACCTTAACTGGAATAGATTCAATTAAAGTGTAAATCGTGGTTTTGATGCGTAATTTACGATCAAAACAGTTAACTAACCCAACAAGAAACAATACCACTGTCCTTTTAGATAGCGCGCGTCAAGAACGTCTTATTGTAAGGAAATGATAGACTTACAAACAATGAGCAGTCTTAACCCTAATAAAAAGACAATGCATGAATCGTTAAGTTTTCATCGTGAATTGACGCAGACCAAAATGCAAAAATGAATTCCACGTTGATGCCTTGAAATAATCCGATACCTTATCTTCAATTCCTTCTACTAGTAATGCTTGACTAGTGGTTGCTAGTTATCGATATAAAGCTGCCCGTTTTAGCAAGTGATCATCCTTATAACTCTGATGTATGCTATAAAAAACAGCAGCTGAGAAACGAAACATAGTGAAGGCAATAAGTGGAGACGGTTTTGGTTTTATGCGTCTATAGGTTCCAGAATTTTCACTAGCCATCTTAGATTAAAGTCCAAAAGATATAATGTATCACAGTATTGTGTCACTTAGATGGTAAGCAGTTCGTCGTAAAATACTTTTTGGTTCGTTCGGAACGTCTCACTCAACTTGATTATTCAGAGCGATACATTCACGGTGACCTAAACAGGTAACATCTATTAGCACAACCACTATTGCTGTAGACGTATCTTTAGTATGACGTTGGGAATGTTGAGAACTGCGAAGCATTTTATCTCTTGGTTAATGCTCTGATAACGTTTATTTCGTTGTTTTAATTATAGGGTCCCGAGGTCCCATGGGAATGTGTAAGTTTATGTATCACTTTGTTTTTATGATTTTTTTTAGCTTCTGCATAGTTGTCATTTATCGTTTTTTTTACAGTACAATTCGTTTGCTTGGTTAATTTCTTTGGAGCTAATATAGGGGAAAGTCCGTCGGAAAATATCTAATCGTTCTTGTATTCCAAAGGAATATTAAGCCTTAGTGTCGGCTTACATTCTCTAAGCTAAATTTTTAGGTTCTAGTGAGGCATATGATAATCAAGGTAGTCTTTCGTTAGGTTTTATATATGTTACATGTGTTCTGTGCTACGCAATGCAAGTTATTAGTAAATCATGATCGCTTTGTAATTTGCATTGTTTCAGCTAACAGCTTTAGGTTTTGCACACAAAAACATACTAATTGGTGGAAATTGAAAGATACGCGTTAATTGTTATTTATGCAATATTAACAGTCATTACACTATGAATAATTATGTTTTTTGAATCAGTTCCCGATAAAGTTCCTTTTATTAATTTTTTTATTTAATGTGTGAAACATGTCGGATTGTCAAATATCAACGGTGGTGTGGTTGGTGCAAACATCTAGACTATATAATAAAAATGATCATACATATAAGTTCGACATGAGTAAAGCGGGCATCACATGGCTCATTTGCGATCTATTAAGTTGGGGGGGGGGCGATTATCAATATCATTTGGTATGACAGTCATCCGTCTACTTATATATGCAAGCTTTTTTCCAACTTTTTCAACAGTAATAGCACTTATCTTTTGTCCAACGAGAAAATCCACTTTGGTGTAAATAATAAGCAAATATACCCAATGTGTCATTTTCTCATGTTTGAAAATTTCCACTTCTAGGAAGCGGCAAGCAGTGTAGGTCGCAGCAGTTTCACTCGTGTTCTAGAAGAGATACCGGTTGTGATTCATAATTCACATCTCGTAAACATCCTTTTGACTGAAATCGTTGATAATCAAGAACTGTCGCGATCGGAGCTTTCTACAAATTCATCAATGCTAGATCTGGCCCCACCGCTTCCAAAAGACCATCCTGGTCGTTATTCTACTCTCAATTTAAGCATGGCCTCTAGTTTGGAACAACAACTACGTTCTCTTCTTGCGGGTCTAGAAACAGTACATGATTACCAGTATTCATATCAACGTAGTCTCTCAAAATCTCAAACTACGGTAGCTGGCAAGGTAAATCAATAAAATTTATTACTTATTTAGTACCTTCATCAAATTATATGATTGTGGAATACTATAAGGGAAAGCGAATTGTTTGATCCTAAGTGGCTAATTTTTGGCAATTATTTAGCCTGTTGGCTGGTCGCTCACGATAAATCGTTACTTAGTTACACATCAGTACTCTTAGTGATATAATTTTTGCTATGGTTGATGTTTGGAACTAAACAAAGCAAGCTTTGAATGCATTACAATTTCCAACATTAAGCCTGCCTTATTACTGATAATGAAGATATTCATCTTCATAATACAATGGCTAGAGGGATAACAAAGTATGTGATCACAACATATCGTGAGCGACGCTTCATGTGGAAATCATCTATACTGTTCAGTAATTTAAACCAATATGCTAAGGCCAGCATTATTGCGATATGCTATGTATTCGATTTTAATAATCACAGTTATTCATCAACTTTACATCTGATGCCACCGATTTGCGAACATTATTTGGAGTCATCCTCTTATTGTAGATGATTATCGTTCAATTATGTATTGTTCAGTCACCATTTTCCGTCCCTGTATTGTTTGTAGATTTTATTTGTATAATACTGCTTGTTTATGTTTGTTTTGATAATCTTCTCTTTTCGATAATGCAATAAGACGAAGATTATCAGAACTATGTAATATATTAACGCAATACATTTCGAACAATCTGGCTGATGACTTAATCGAAAACATGTCACTTTATAAGAGATATGTGGACGATATCTTAGTTTTTTGTGAAAGAAATAAGGATATGTACTGTTTATTGAACAAATTTAACACTCCAAAACCATATCAGTCTTATGTGAAGAGGAGAAGAACAACCAGCTTCCCTTCCTAGATATACATGTGAGCAGACGAGAAGATGGCTCAGTCAAACGGTCCATTTTTAGGAAACCAACGTGGACAGGTCAATACCTTAGTTATTATAGTTATTGCCCTGTGCAATAAAAACGTGGTTTGATAAGGTGCCTATTCAACAGGCTTGATCGTATTTGTACAAATGACGTCATTGATGATGGTATTAAGTTGTTAAATAAAACAATGGAAAATGGCTATCCTCTGAGATTCATAAATAGATAGAAAATCCGTGGTACAGTGAGACCTACTGTAGCCTTGGTAGAAAAAAAGCCTGTCTACATCATCTTACCATTCAGAGATGATTCAAATAGCCTTTTATTGAAACAAAGGCTTAAATCACTCATTAACAAAACGTATCGCGCAGCAAAGATCATTATCAAAGAAAGAACAAGGCTCATGCTTCATCCAAAACCTGAAAGACACGGAAACGATTGTGTTATCCCACAGTGTTTACCACTTTAAATGTGTGTGGTCACACATACATAGGGAGGAGCAATCGTGATCTCAAAATTGGGGTGGGTGAACATGTACCAAAATGGTTGCAGTAACAAACAGAATCAAGTGACCCAATAAAAGCAGAGGATAAACATCCATCATCATCTATCGCTAAACATATAATCGAAACAGACCATAAGATTGATCTTAACATGGCCTTTGTGGTGTTATACAAAAGTGTAAAAGGGCGTATACTAAGGCTTATTGAAGCCTTAGCCATACGAAAATTCAAACCCCCTTTGTGTATTCAGAAACAGTTTGTTCTCACTTCAAACCTACCCTGGTAATATTGGCTTATTATCCAGAGTGATTAGGTTTCAAATTGTGTTCATATTATTATTATTATTATTATTATTATTATTATTATTTTTATTAGCCTTGTCTCCTCTTACCCCATTTCCAGTGTAGTTGACCTTTTATTTTTATACATAAATGTTCTTAACAAGTATATGTGGTCAGATTGTTCGAAATGTATTGCGTTAATATATCACATAGTTCTGATAATCTTCGTCTTATTAGATTATCGAAATTTATCAAAGGGACTAGTTGCTTTAAAAATTTCCTCTTTGTTTTGCACAAGACTGCAACTGAAACACGTAATCGGGAGTTGGCTCCAATCCGTCTGGACACTGCGTTGGTTTCAGCTCAGCTTGATTTCTACTGCAACAGTCTTGCTCAGATGGCAGGTCAAACAATAGGCAAATTGATGTTAACACAAGCTGTACAAAAAACAAGTTCATCCGGAGCTCCTAAATCTCAAAAAATTTAAACTATATAAAGATCTAAATAACTTGTATAACATAATAAACAAAATGTTGTATGTTAATATTTGTTTCAGTCTGTATAATTATTCCTCCTGTGATCTTGGTTAAAAGCCTTGCCATTTATTTCATTGATAGTTTTATGAGTTCGTTTCTAAATAGTCGGTCACGGTAACACGAGTATTTCTTAAAAAGAGCGCCTCATTTTCATCCAACCAAAAAAGTAATTCGTTAAAATATGTTTCGAAATAAGGGTTCTTCTAGTCAGTCTAGTACTGCATATCTCAACAATCCCACAATTTAAGGGTTTGACTTGTTTAACATAAATATTACTAACAATCTAAATCATTAAGGCCTAGTTTTGTACTGTTTGTTAACATATCAAGGTTCATTCCAATATTTTTTCTTAATACCCATTGCTTAGATTATCATTCTCATACAGGTCTAACGTTGTACATCGTTCGTATTCCTATCTTAGTGTCGTCAAACTATTTTTCAGTGCGTAAGTCTATATTTCAATAAAGTAATTATTACAATTCAGGCATTATAAGTGCCGATTTGACATGAAATTGTTTTAATTCCCCACCATGGTTCTACACATAAGCTTTGTCCATGCATTATAAAATAAGTACCAATCAAACGATGAATCCATTAACACAATATTTTATCTATAGAAATAGTAGTGGAGTAATCTTAAGATGGATATAAATACAAATTCATTAGTGATTGTGTAATTATGGAAATTAAAAATGTGAGTCGTATCTGTTTGGTATTGGATGGCTATTCCTCACTTAACTTTAAAGGGTGGTATTCGAGGTACAGTGAACTTGCCTAATTGTCCGTACAATACAACTAACCACGAAGCCGTTGAGCTGTTAAATGCACAGGCAGCGGGACTCCACAATTTATCTTTATTCCATATTGTTGATTGTTGGTCGACTGTGAAGTGAATAGCGTAAACTTTATATATTGAATTCTCTTTAAAGCGTTTCTTAGACATTAATAGGTGTACTAACTCTGTATGATGCACGTTAATTCCATACCTTATTTTGTTCATATAAGCTAAATTTTCAGGTATACTTTACCATGTTAATGCTTAATAGAAGTGACCTGTATTAAATCATTGAAGTTTCTTTCTCAATATTGTGAACGGTGATAAATTTCTTTTCACTATTCTGCCAAAATAGAGGAAGCATTTTGTTCCTTCTTCCTTAAGTAAGTAAATACAAACTTGATATACACCCTTATTGTTCCTAGAATTTAAGAGTAATCTAGACTTATCTCTCGAACCTCAGACCTACATAGTCTATCATTTTAGACAATGACTTATATAAGTTGCGAAGACTTTTAACATAGACTACGATACATTATAATACCGATTGATTTGATTAAGCCGTCGTATTTCCGTAGTCTTGTACTACGGATCAGTATTGAAATATATCGAGTGTTGTTGTCCCTCATTAGATCATAGAAGAAATTAAAAGGCGAAAAATGTTTTCAAATGAATGTACATCTTGAAACTGAAAAATAATTGTCATAAATAAAATAATCAGAATCATAAAGTCCTAGATAGTAATGTTTATTGTTTTTTTGGCTAATAGAATAAACTGTGAAAATACGATTATCTCAGCTTCAAACAAACATTAGGTCTCCATCTGGATCATAGATTGGTTTATATTTATTGTAAAGATTTCGAAGTTCTTCTAGGTATAATTCTTTCAGCACTGATATTTGTTCTCTTGTTGGATTTGGGTTTTTTTCACACGGTATTGGTCGTCCAACTTTTTTATTTCGGTAGAAAAAACATTTAGAAAATCGGAATGACTATTTTTGTAGTTAAGAGAGAAGAACTTAAACAATAATTTTGATTACCTTAGTTTACAAATTGTATTTGTACTATAAGTGGATTTTATCGTCCTCTGGGTTACTAATCTGGTGTTCTATTGAAGACTAGTAGTTTTACAATCTATCAGATTGCTAACGGAATTCCAGTTTTGCTACATTCCAGTGAATGTACTTTACATGGTTTTCTTGTTAACGGTTAAGGTACATTGGCAAAATCTGACTGTACAGATAATAATTAAGTGCGTTTTAGATACTTGACTTTCCACAACAAACAGTAGCCATTATACCAGCCAGACAGTAGTTTTCCTTCTAGTTTCGTATTATTGGAAATATATGAGAATTCTGGGTGTAATTTCGAGACTCAAAATAAATTGTAAGATAGCCAACCAATCATTTTGGAAGCTTGTGGTCTGAAGTGAAAAAGACATGTGAATTGTGATAAGTATCGCTGGCTCTTGTTTCCAGTCCTTAATCAGATCTTAGCGACTTTGAAATGACAGTATTTAGAGACTGGACAACGGGTTGTGTTAGCATTTGCAGCTGTCCTATTTTAGAACGTCCAATTAAACCATTGGGCACATCTGTTGGTGTAATTTTCACTGTATTGAGATTATCCTCATTAAGCTACCTGGTTGTTCAATTTATCTGAGATAATTAGAATAGATTACTAATGATATTAAGTAAAATTTATTGTGACCACTGTATTCTATTGTTTCATGACGTCGTAAATATTTTAAATGATATATTTGTTTAACTTACTGACTGTGTTTACATCTGTCCGATAAGGCAGAAAAAATCGAGCATAAAAGAAAGGAGGTGAGAATGTTGCCATTTTCGTAAATCGATTTTGGAAGTGTCTTATGCAACTCCCTTCAGGATTGTACACTTGTTTAAACATATTCGGTTCACCAAACGATACACACGGTACCAAGTGCGACCTAAACCAAACCATAAGAATAAGACATTTAATTAGTTAACAAACAGTTCGGGGCTTTCAGAATAGGAAAATAATTAGCAGGTCTTTCCATTAATTGAAATTTAATTGTCTCCAATATCCTTTTACGTTAATCCTTAGTCAGTCACTCAGCTACAACGTAGGACCAGGCACATATATGCATCGGTCCAAGTTGCCATACATCATTAGCACAATAAGATGAACATAAAATTCATAAAAGTAGTCACTTCAGTGGTAGTAATGTATAAAAGAATGCATATAAGGTTATAATGCAGGAAGAAAGAATTAGTTCGTAGAAAGAAATATATAAAGCGATTCTTATCTCACGGTTTAAGGGAGGACGAAGAGAGTACACACCGACGCCATTGTGATCGATTCTGAGCCATGTCACCAAGAGTCTCCAACCACTGGTTACGGTAGTCACGAGGAACCCAACTAAGTAGTCTGCATCTACCAACACAGCTCAGATTAGAAGTTAATGACTTCAAGGACTGATGCCTTGTTTTGGTTTGGCCACCCCTAACTTTTTTCCAACCATCCCAACATCGGTTAGTATTGCGCGTCGTGGTAATCGGTGTTCAGGTATACGCAACACGTAGCCCAACCATCTCAGTCGATGAAGATTCACAACCTCATCAACTGATTTACCATCATTCCCTAATACCCTGCGTCCAACCTCACTATTACTTACCCGGTGATCCCAGCAGCTGCTGGCGATATTTCTAAGATATATGTGATCAATTACTAGCAACTTATGAGTATCTTCTACTTTTAATGGCCATGTTTCGCAGCCATAAATTAGAGCAGAAACAAACTGCTGTGCTGTCCCTTAATTGATAGACGGATATCTCGCCTTCGCCATAGGTGACATAAGTTGGCAGCTAAAGTCGGGGGATCTACTTCAATGTTCCGTTCAGGTTGTTTGGGAGTGTTGAGTAGTTGTATAGTAGCTGAAGGCTAACTGAACTATTCCTTAAAGTGTTCCGCCCATCGTTCTAAGCGTCTGGGCTGAGAGCAGATAAGGTTGCCGTCTTTTTCTGAGACTGTTTCACTTACACTTGACTTCTTAATCCCTTTTTTTATTAGTCTGAGAAACTGTCTGGTATTACCTACAGCCGTTGCCTTTTCCATCTCTTTTGCTTCCGTTACATTAGTCCTAGTGAAACTAGTGGCTGTTTTGCATCAAAGTCTAATTGAAAGTGTTTCGAAAATCATTTCCCTTTTGACTTATTATTCGATCACTGATGTCAAGTCTTATCCCTTGTAGTAAGTGGATTCCGTCAGTCAAGTTACACTAAACTAAGTGACTCTTTTGATACATTTTGATGTTAGATGGCTGTAAGAGGTATAAGTTGTTTGTTTTTTCTTATGGAAATATACTGTCCTTATTCATTGAACTGTTATTTCACCTGAATCAGAAAATACTACTGGATTGACTAATTTTCATTTGCCCAATTTTAAAGCTCTCATAAATACTACAATTATGTTATAACCCATATCCTTCTAGATCCTCAAGTAACATATTTGAATTACGTTCAATATCGGCAATTTGTAAATTTAAGAAAATGATTCGATATCATTCTTACCCAGTCATTAATGCTAACTTAAAAAAGCCATATCGTCGGTTAGTGTGGAAGACATATTTCCCAGGACGTGAATCTAATGCTTCAGGAGCACCACCCAAAACGACGACAACGAAATTTCCTGTATTTCCACATTGTTGAGAATCAAGGAGATATGAAAGTCCTTTGTATGTTGCTGCTACAAGATCTGAATAATTAAAAAATAAATCAGTCAGTATATTGGTTTATTTAACTAAATAACATCCATCATGGGGAAATTCAGTACAAAATAAAGTCCACTTTGAAGTCTTGGCAACTAGGGAAATGGAAGAGATAAATAAACCATTTAACTTTATCCGATATAACTCTCAACCGTAGAACAAAAAATGAATGATATTTTATTTGAACTTTCTTCGGATTCCTGTGGTTCAACTCTTGAATAAATAAAGGTAACGAAGGACATTTAATCTACATTCATCTCACAGTAATGACCAATTCCTTCGGCCAAATTACGGTGATTAAGTTTTACTACTTAATAATTGAAGGTAGTATCCTAAATATGAAAAAAGTTAATGGGTTTTTATGTTTTCAATCAAGGGAATCACTTATTGTAAGCGATAATATCTAAGTTTAGCGAATGCTTTCGTATGATTCTCAAAGCGCGTTCTATGTATGGATATTGTACTGATGTTTTCATGACAGTAAAGCTCTATACATAAACTTTCATTGAAGTTTGAGAGTACGTTTTCATAAAAATTATTGAGAAAACAGGCATAAAAATATATTGGTTATAATGTCAACAATTGAAATTTATGTAGCGTAAAAGTTTGGTCTGATTATCTTTTTCAATTAAGTAAAGTTTAAGGATGAAGTTTCAAAACAGAGACAATAAAGTTGTGTCTATGGAAGTAAATGTTGTAAGAGTTTACTATAAATATGATGAGGACGCCTAGACAGCTGAAATTGATTGTGTAAGAATGCAGTTTCCGAAACATACTCAATGAGAAAAAGATATCAAGTTAACGTCGGTATAAAAAATATTCTTCAGTAAGTATCTGTCACATAGATTGATGGCAAAACTGCTACAATTTGAGAAAGTTCTAACAATCTGCATAGATGGGATGAAGGATAGTTATCTTTTAGGGGGAGTTTTGTTCCCTGGGCTGGGTGGTGTGGTGGAGCTTTCATTATTCTGAACAAAAGCAGCATACATTTCAGGTAGAGGTGAAGTGTTCGTATTTTTTAACAAATGACTGACAGATTGTCCTATCGACCTCGATCTTGTTATTTAGCTGACTGCTGTATCCACAAAGCATAAATATTTAAATAATTTATAATCAACTATCATCTACTCTTCACTGATACTTTGAAATTTACATCAATCACTTTAGTTTGAGCTTCAGGGGTAACATCAGTATATGCATATTAAGTGTGCGCATCTTCTAAAACATTAGTGCTTTTTTATTGAATAATACATTGATTATTATTTCCATTCTAATATTGTATTATTGCTAATAACGTCTAAGAAAAACCGAAATCTCTTTATAATTTGTAGATTTAGAGAAATATTAATCGAAATATAAATAGTCAATAATAACTCTAATGTTTATTTACCAAATGTGAACTTTTAGATCAAGTTTATACAATAAATGTATCCATATGTTCTATCCGATACTGTACTGTCACTTGATATCGAATACTGTGATATAAATACGTTTTATATATTGTTGATGAATGCACATCGAACAGTTTATTTTGGCAAAATGCAACTGAATGCTTAACCTGATAACATAAGAGCCGAACAAACGTAGTAACAAGTATATGAATCCTATTAATCAGCATTTTGTCCGAATCTAGTCACCATTCTTGATTCTTTTGATATGTCGATTGTAACCAATGATGAACATAAATATTGCATGTTTGTTCTGCTACTTGATGATTTAAGCTAACTACTTAACAATCATTTTATGCTCTACAATTCCTTTTAAGTTTGAATACAGAACTTCACGTTTATGCGATAGTTATTGTTATATTTTTTTATAATGAGCTTATAACTTCACATACAGTTTGCTGACAATTATAACTTGGCTGAATCATATATCGCCTAGATTACTTACTTTAAACGAAAATAATGTACTTAAGTTCTAAAGTTCTCTAAATCACGTCCTACATTAACACTGTCAAAATAAATCGAAACGTGGAAGAAGTATACAAACATTTAGTTTATCACAGCTAGTTTCATTTCATTTTTATGGACCCTATTGAGTAGTATGTGACTATTTAAGTTACATATTATGCAATGAACATAATGGTACAAGCCAGATGTATAAATTATTCGGATAAATAACATACATTGTGGGTAAATTTTCTTAAAACTGAAGATGGTCATGATAGAAATGCTGTCAATCATAAATGAATTTACTCTATAGTTTTTGACTACTGAAAATTTACCGACTACTAAAATTCATTGGACAGATAAACTTTAAACTGTCGTATTTCGCCATTTCATTTTGTTGATTATCATTTGTTTATGTATTGTTTCAAATTAATAATAACCCTTTTATACTGACAGATGAATATATATATTTATATTACGTAATCCAGTATTATAATCTCCCTATTACATCATCTTGGTTGTTCCTTGTTCACATTTCCTCACGGAACTAGTACTTTAACAAAAAATCTTCATATATATGTATATGTACTAGACTTAATATGTTAGTAACGAATCATAATGTGAGTGTAGTAAGGTGATCAAAATGTTTGTTACAACAATTAAGGGTCATATATGTGTAAAAAATGAATAACTAAAGTGATATCATGAGCAATTTTGAATAAAATAGTGAGAATATGAGACAGTAAAGGGAGAAATGTAGTAATATTAATAATAAAGGTCAAGTTAACGATAACGAAAGGATGTACCTCTTTTGTACGCATAGTTCAGACCTGAGCTCGTGGATGATAAGAGCTTCGTCTTTTTTTAGGAGTTGTATACGAAGAAATCTAGGTAGATTTGGACGAATCGTTTATACAACCTTAAAATCAGACTGTCGATTAGATGTTCAAGTATGGAACTCCTAACTGCTTTCCTCTTACCCTTGTAGAATCACACTCGGACATGTTCCTGCATCCGCAATGAAAGTGAGCGCTGGCTACGGCCAATGTACCTTGCTCCACAAGAGCAGGTGAACTGGTAGATGCACATGGATTTCTTCGTATCCAACTTCTAAAAATATCCGAAGCTTTTATCATCCATGAGCTCAAGCCAGAACTATGAGTACAAAAGAAATGCATCTTATCGTTATCGTTACTTTGGCCTTAATTATTATTAGTACTACATTTCCCCCTTTACTTATGTCTCATATTCTCACTATTTTATTCAAAATTGCTCATGATATCACTTTATTTATTCATTTTTTACACTTCTATGACCCTTAATTGTTGTAACAAAAACATTTTAATAATCTTACTACACTCACATTATAATTCGTTACTAACTTATTCAAGTCTAGTGGTATTATTTGTATTACGTAATCTAGTATTATGACCTTTTTATAGTTCATGATTTTACTTTGAAACATTTATTACTATTATTATTATTATTAGTCATAATCTATCGTTTACAATTAACAAATTACTGTATGAAGGATTATTCTAATGACATTCTCACCTTTACTTTAATGTAAACTAATCATTAAAACAAGTAACTTGGTATAAGCGATAAAACTACCTATAGTTTATTGATTTTCTATTAATAGTATACTTAATCACTTCTAAAAATATTCAATCCTGAAGGTAATTGAGCCATTAAAACTTAATTAATCAAGTAATCTCCATTACTACACTTATCTAATGAATTTGTTCATAGAGGGAGGATTGTCTTTAGACATATGTATATCATTATATAGCATATAAATTACTTATGGTAATTGATGTACAAATACATATGAACAGAATTTTTTCTTAAGAACGACCTTATTTCTATGAACGTGTAAATAGTTTTTAAAGTTTAGTATAATTACACTTTGATGTATAAAAGATTTACGTGAACTGCATACTAAAATAATGATCTTAAACTTTTTGTTTTGTTTTAGTATTACTGATAATAATTTTGGCGTCTTTTTTGATGTCATAAAGCTCTGTAGATAGTTAATTATCGGGAATAATGCCAGGTGAATTATTAAGTAAATATTATCATAGATTTCATGCCCCTAATTTCCTACGGAATTCTTATGTAATTCTAGTGATAAATGTTTAGCAAGAACATAATAGATTTCGTAATTCATGGTTTCGATCATTAAAAATATGAAACATTGATGTTATGAGTATATTGAAGAGTAATTCAAGTAGGATATGCGTAAAATTAAATTCGAATTTGATAACCTGGAGGTATCATAGACACTGTTAGATTTAAAAATCCTGAAATCATTTCTATGTAAAGCGATAGATACACTACAGAGGAGTTTTAATCTAGGATGAAATAGCTGTCCAGTGCTTTCTGGTTTTCAATGGTTATTTAACCAAATTCAGTCTCTCTTATGTTAACAAGATTTTGTTAGTTTTAGACTTTGAATAAGTGAGAAAACCACGACTATTTGCACATTAACATATACAACATGTTTATCATTAAATATGATTAACTTTCATCGAATTGTTTTTAAAAATAACATAAACATTTATAATTCTATTCTATATTTCTCATGTATATGTAAACCTTTTTTGACATCAGGTTATTGTATGTGAAATCTATATATTCATTAATTGGTAGACAATGTAAGTTCATTAATATAATTTCACCAGATACATAGGTCATTATATCATTATCGATTTTAATTACATTAGATTTTATTAACTGAAGATTGAAATACCTAATACTACAAATAGTTGATAAACAAAGACATTAACATAACATTTTATAAAACGATGAATTAACTCTATTCATTACATTTCACGTTAGCATATAAAGCGAAAATAAATAAAAAAACAACAACAGTGAATTGAAGCTAAAGTGAACAAAATAGATACCATTTGATAAAAACAATGCAGTATAGTAAAATACAGCCTCTGATGAGGCTATTGTAATAAAATACTTTTGAACTGTAATATAAATTAATTCTTGCCAGATATTTATCCACACTATTTTGATGATTCCTTGTTGGCTGCAGCTAAACCATTACGTGATATGTAACTTCAGTAAAAAAAGGTTAATGGTAGAAATTCTTTTGTATTATCTCCAGTGACTTCTCAGTAAACTGTAGTCAGGGGCGGATCTCTTACTGATATTAATACGAATCAAGTATGTGAGGTAGAGCTTAATGAATAAGGCCTTAGACTTAACCTAATATCTGTAAATAAGACAAAATCATGATGGGGAATAATAAAAATGTCTACTAAATTCTTATCAACTAAGAACTACTATTGTTTGCTGTCGAGTATAATGCAAGATAACAAAATTGACATAACTTCATAATCTTCAGTACTTGTTATACTTAGATAGTCCCTATTTTAAGTTTGTGACTAAACTAATTTAGAGCTATACTCATAATTGTTCAGCATATGTATCTATGTTCACATAAATTTTGTCCCCGTATTCTCAAAGTTATTCAATTATATCAAAGTCATGTTATATGGTTTCAGTATTATAATTTTTAATGTCTCATCTATTATTATACTCATTTTATTATCATTATGTGAATTCAGTTGATATGTTCTCGTGAATTACTTTAATGCAATAGCTTGAATTAAGAAAACAACATTCTTAGGAGATTCAATATTGAGTGTTATATTACTTTTAACTTCTTTAATTTCACTGGTTAAAAATAAAACAGTATGACTAGTTCGTTTGTAATCTAAATATTTAGTCATGTTCCTTCCACACTTATGAATTTGTTTAATAATAGTAATAATAATAATAATCTACCTTGCTGTAAAAACAATGGCTTTGAACTAAGAAATACAATGTGAATTTAGTATAAAAAAAAGGTTTTAGTAACATGTTCAAACTGCTTTATTAAACAGTTCAACTACCTATATCAAAAATGATATTAGCTTTTGTAAGTAGTTGATAAATATTAACAAAATGGAAAGTATTATTACTTTTACTATGGTGTATTGATTAAATCCGTTTGTTTATCTAACTAAACTTTCAAATCTAAACAACTTTTTTGACTGTCTGAAGTTTCTTTTCACGGAAAAAAAAGATTATCATTTAAGAGAATTAATTCTATGTAAAACGATATTTCTTAATGACATAAAAGATGTTTTAGCATAATTCAATCATATGAAGTCGTTAAAGAAGCTTGATAGATATTTAAAACTAACATTTTATATATTTTGAGTATTGTAATCAATAGTGAGATTGTTACATTAACTTTAGATGTAAACCTCATTGGTCATTCTCACCGTTGTTATCAAGTAATGTTGTATTTTATTTATATGATCTAATTTGTTTGATAACTCTGTAAATTACGGTTTTTACGTTAAGCTAGACAAACATAATGTTGAACTTCATCTGAATTGTTCCTAACCATGTTACATTTAAATATACAATCAAAAAGATAATGGAATGTCTTCGTCACTAGTATATGTGTTTTTTTTTAAACTTCACTCATGAATTTCTTCAATTTTAAGGTAATTGTTATGAGAGACTGAAATCAGCTTGTAAACCATTGGAAACTAGGCAATACTACTCAATTTTTCGTTCTAGGATGAAAAATTTCAACTATACTTATCCGCGAATTTACACAGTATTGTACTCAGCAACATTAGATTTAGCGGTGAAACAGGAATAAACTGACGTCTACAAAACTGATTTGTACCTATGATGTTTGGTTAGTGAATTGTTCATCAATCAGTTACAGGCTTATTAATATATATTAACACTTCCTAGTTTGTGGCCATTCACTGTGGTTTTGATATTCTTTATCTTGCCAATTGACTGGAGTTTAACAGGATTTTCTCATACTAGTATTTGAACACTGTCATAAATATAATATTCAATATTTTAACTCATCTTATATTGGTTACTTGAATCTTCCCATTGATGTTTAGAACTGCATATGTTCATCCTGTACTGACCGCCTCCATATTGCCTTATGTCACAAGCATTATAATCAGCGATGGATGGTGACTGGCGAGTCCTAAATGGGACGAAACACGTGTCCAGGATTCCACTGCTAGCCACCATCTATCTCTGCTTATAATTCAATATTTTAATACTATACCTTCCTTTTTTAACAAAAAGACATTTATTACCCATAATCTTTGATACTGTTTACTACAAAAGGGCTTTATTTTGGAGCTGCGTTTCAATGGGTTTGTCAAATAAATTGTATAACCTTGTGATATTTAATTTTTATCATGTTAAAAAAAGAAACAAGCCAACAATTATTCAGTATAAACTTACTAAAAGATAATAGAAAATCACGATAAAATGGCGCTTTGAAATTAATCTCCAATGTTGTTAACCATGGTGTAATTCCTGGAAATTTTTCAGAGAATTGATTAGCTTCAGTTAAGAAATTAATAAAAGCACCAATACCAAATATTCCATGTGGATGATAACCAACTAGATAATTATTACTTGTAGGAAATAATTCTTTTATACATGTTAAATTGTTTTCATTTGTAGAATAATCTTGTTTATTTATAATTGTTTCAATATACATTTTATCATTTGAATTTTGATCTTCATCATTATGACAATTTTGATTGGTAATAACATTGAGTGTAGTTAATTCAGATGTATTTTCATTATCTTTATTATTATTATTATTTTGATATAATTCACTAAGAACAAGTTTAATTGGAAAATAACATGCTATATATTTCCATATTATTAAATTTCTAATAAAATATTTTGGATGACTACCTTTCTCTTCGGAACCTTTATCAATATACCAATATATCCAATATACAATAATAATTAAAAATAATGTAATAAATTGTCGAAATAAATCATATAATTGTTCATTATGTATAAATTCATATGAATTTTGTATAATATTATCATTACTAATTAATTTATAACCAATAATATAGAATAATTTAATAAATTTAATAAGTAAATAAATCCATAATAACCAACATGATGTTGCACCAAATAAAAACATCATAACAAAACAAGTAACACTTATAAATTGTAACAAAATTTGTTTGAATTGAATGAAATGTGATAAATTTGAAAATAGTTTTATGATACATTTATACATGATGAATTAAAACAAAGAAGAAAGAAATTTAGTCAACTATTTAATAAATTAATAATAATTATTTAAATTATTCTTTTACAAGTAAATGATCACAAATATAACATTTAATCAATTGTACATTCTATTTAATGAATAATAAGGATTGAATAATTGAATTTAAACTATTTGTGATAGTTTAATTTTGTTTATATATCTTTTTTTTTCTCAAAATATGATTGGTTAATATTTCGATGAAAGTGTTTGCGTGGGTGGTAGTTTAAAAATAATGATATTGACTACTGATAATAGAGATGTTGATATATGTCTGTTTTTTTTAAAAAAAATAAAAAAAAATAAAATCATCTTTAGTTTGTTCTTTGATATAGACTTGGATAGATAATAATAATTAGAAAGAAATTGGTTTTTGTCTGTTTTGATAACACCCTAAACAGAAGATTTAATGTGTGGAATTTGAAATTGATACTTTTTTAGTGGCCCGTTGATCTGACTCCAATTAGATCGTATGAGTGTTTGTTATCGGAATATATATGTTGCTTATCCTCGTATATAATCATCGACTTTAATCGCGTTAGTCAATAACGGATTTAGATAAGTCAAATAACGAGAATGGACTTTTGAATACATATATTTTGTATGTAAAGTGAATGGAATAGAGAGAAGAAAAACGACGCGGAGGGGAGAGGGTTGGTAACCCAACTTCCATTTAACCAAGCGTTAATCAACATTTATGGTTACACAAAAGTAAGATACAGACATGTGGTGAGTAATGGGATAAGAAATGTACACACACCTACGCGCTCATATAAAAACACTCAAGATTGATAAGCGAATGATCAACAAGGTCAAAATATGACTCAAGTAGAATGAGTAGAATGAACTGTCCGAAAGCTAGAATAAGGTATATGGGCTTAACATAATAACCGACACTACAGTTTATTTAATGAAAATATGATTAATATTCTGTAATTTCAGTTGTCTTTGTCCATTTCCAAACATTTAAATAATATATTGAAACGGATTATCATAAGCATTCTGATTAAAATGGACTTTATAGGTCTCGTAGTCATACGTACGCCCTAGGACATATGACTGATTTTTTGTAAAGTTCAAAGCATGAAATTATTCAGCTATCTGTAAACCTTTAACAGATTAAAACTAAATTATCATTACTAGTCATTGGATCTTTATCAAATACCTTCAACCACTATCCGATATTTGGTGAATTAATTCCTTAATTTGAAAATTCTTTGTTTTAGAGTATATTCTTTCGTTTTCGATCTGTTGTCAATTTAATATATTGACTAAGTGTATCTGTCGTAATGACCTATTTCATGTACATTGACTAAAATGATTCTCTCTTAATATCTTTCTATACTCTAAAACATCAGTTAAAAAAATAATATGACCAGAATGGGAGAATGAGATTTCGTGCAATAAACTCTGAATCAAGGGAGGGGGAATATGGCGATTAACACTATATCGCTAAAAAATTAACCGAATTTAGTAAATGGCTTATATAATATTCGTGACAGAAAACTTCTGTTTATTCATATATACAGTAATGTGTAGACAATTATGAACTTAAGCATCTTTTTGTTTACCGAAAATCATTCTAGTATACTGTAACAAAAAAAGACAAATGAAATAACAATTATGATGTTGAGTAGAAGGGTTAATCGACGGTTAAATAACTTATATAGGATGGTTTTACTCAAACCAGTAAGTAGAACTATCACATATTACTAGTTCGGTTTTTTTACTAAACTGGTTAATATAAAAACCGGCCGTGTCGACATTTTCTAATCGTATACTCTGTGCAATATATTCAGCTTTTAGCAACACTTTTAGATACCAAGGTTAGCAACACAGCCCATCTCTCTAGTCCAAAGCAGTTAAGTCAGAGTTCAAACCCCAATACCAATTTCTGTAAATCTAATGGTTTAGGCATCAAGTCGATTCTTTATAATCAGATGTAAGAATATACGAGACCGTTAATATGAGTTGGAAGTGTAAGAAATATATGAAATTCCCTAATATTTTGAATATTGTTTATTTTAAAGTCAAAAACTGTTATTTTGAGTTTCAACTGATTTAATTTAAATTTTGGATTGAGCACTTTTAATACATGAGATAAAGTTGAGGATTGATTTTATGATAAAATAGTTTGGTAAAAATTTGATTTAATTAATCAATAAATTGTGTATGCAATCAATAGGTTATACTACAAAAACATAAATTTTTCATCAGTGTATAATGTTCCCGATTTCGGGTGCATTTTGCATTTGCACTTAGAAGTACATATATCGACATACATATAGAATTCAGCCGGAAGTTAGTAAGCTGAGAATTTAAGCCATATATTTTTGAAAACAGAGCTAAGATCACCCTATGTAAACTTGTCTTGGGATCTGAAATCTTTAATTACTCTTCACACTCTCGGTGTGTAGCGAAGCATGGTACAGAAACCTTTGAATGAGCATTAAGTTACGTTTGATTATCTTCCTGTATCATACACTGAAACCTATATACAATTACTAGTTTTGATATCAAGTTACTTTTTGCATGGATTATACAGTGTCTTGATAATAGTATGTTCTTATCCGTCCTATAAACTAGTCTAATGATTGCAGTCTTTCTCTTACGTTGGCTGAATACAGTTATTGTACTACATCCACTTCTAAAGATCCTTATAAATATTTTTGAACAGTAATTTATCTGACGGTGCTTCTCATTTGTTTCATACTCCTGTAATCTATTTTCAGGCTGTTCAGTTACTAAATCTGTCATATCTCAGACTGTAACTCGTTAAAAAGAATTTCTGGTATTTCGCGTTTCCATTTCCAAATCGAGTTGAATATCCATTCGTTGTTTCACACCAAATCCCTAGAAACTCATCTTTCGAAAGTAATTTAATCGAATAATCATTGAGTATGTAGCTTCAAGGTTCGGAAATGGTGATTTCATTTCAAATAATAAACAGTATAGAATTGTGAAGCTCACTTCCTAAAATCCTTAGATAATAACTACGAATTTAACTATTTCCACTGACAAAAATAGCAAGATTTACTACAAATACAGTTGTTAATTTTGAAAGAATTAATTATGAACATCGTGAAAATACAACAGAAATATCCCTTAGTTCAATATTTACAGAATAAATCCGGTTATTGATTTGATATTTCAGAATAATCTTATACCAACTTAAAGAATAACCCCTCAAGGTACCAACTAATCTTACTATTATGTGTTACATATTTGTTTAATGATCAACTACGATCGGTTGTGTCATGAACAAACGGACCCTAAAAATCAATGAGAAGGTCCAAGCAAACAATACAAAATGAATTATAACTTCACCGCATTGCACTAGCTAGCCCCTGTGAGGACTCAATAGGAAAGTGGATAACGCAATGGAGTTTGAGACGGACGGGACTGGGTCCGAGTCCCGAAGTGAACATAAACTCAGACAAGAGTACATCCAGCTGGCGAGTTTCAAAGAGGACGAAACTCATGTTCTGGATTCCACTGCTAGCCACAACCCATCTTCGACCCACAATTCAGTATACGTTTTTGTTAAATGTTTTGACAACTCATGTTTAAAAATAATTATTACATACAACACAACCAAATCGAGTATTCCGTATTGGACAAATATTTCAAATAAATTACTCGACATAGTTTATTGATAAAACTACAGTGTAGTGTGAATGCTATCAAGTGAGTTTTTAGTTCTGCATGAGTTCAGTGGTGTCTGTTTTTAGGTTTAGTAATGAAACATCGGTAAACCATGTACAACATCTATTTTCTCACTGTCAGGACTCCTCAATAATATCTTTAAACATGTATGCCTATAATCAACATCAGTACATTTTATCACTGAACTGAAATATATTCAGGAGAATCAACTAAAGTAATCCTTAGCTTCCTAAAAGGACCAAGCACACCATCTCTAGAACTAATAAAATAACATTGTGAAGAAATAGCCATCCTTCCCTTAACACGTAAATTGTAAATCATTGATTTCACAGTTAACTTTTATTTTTGTGATGGTAGTAAGAAGTTTTAGTAACTTTCAAGTATCTTCTTTTGGTAGGTAATGGTGAAGTGGTTATTTTAAAGGATATATATTGTAATTTACAGAAAAAATATGCGAAGGCTAGACAAGGTGTTCACTAAAATTTTGGAGTGATCTCCCTAATTGACATATTGAGAAAACGTATTACTCAGACGTCATTTAACGTTAGTGATGGACAACAAAGATAGGTAAATACTATAATGTCAAAGGAATCTAACAGTATAAATTTTCATTACGAGTTAGGGCAAATAACTTTATCAGTATGTCATACACTATTCAAGTTTTTGAATCATCCCAATGAAAAAGCTTGCAATACATGGTAAAAAATCTTCCTCCTGGTGATCGACTGAATCATGAAGACATCAACATCTGGGGGCAAGCATGGGATACAGTGGACAGCTAAGATGCAGCCGGACGATCTAGACTTCGCAGATGAACTGGCCCTCCTATCTCACACACAACAACAAATGCAAGAGAAGACGACCAATGCAGCAACAGCCTCAGCAGCGGTAGGTCTCAATATACACAGAGGGAAAAGCAAGATTCTCCGATACAACACAACATGAACCAGTCCAATCACAATTGACGGAGAAGATTTGGAAGATGTAAAACCTTTACTTATCTGGGCAGCATCATTGATGAACACGGTGGATCTGATACAAATGTGAAGGCGCGGATCGACAAAGCAAGAGCAGCATATTTACAGCTGAAGAACATCTGGAACTCAAAACAACTGTCGAACAACACCAAAGTCAGAATTTTCGATACGACTGTCAAGACAGTTCTACTGTAGGTGGCGAAAACTTGGAGAACTACGAAATCCATCATCCAGAAGATACAAGTGTTTATTAACAGTTGTTTACGCAAAATACTTCGGATCCGTCGACCGGACATTATTAGCAACAACCTACTGTGGGAGAGAACAAACCAGATTCCAGTGGAGGAAGAAATTAAGATAAGCGTCGGAAGTAGATAAGATACACATTGAGAAAAGCACCCAACTGAGTCATAAGGCATCATCAAAGCCGAAGGAGAAGAGGAAGACGAAAGAACATATGACGCCGATAAATGAAGACAGACTTGAGAAGAATGAACAACAATTGAATAGAACTAGAAAGGAAAGTCCATGACAGAGTGTGTTGGAGAATGCTAGTTGGTGGCCGTTGCTCCATTGGGAGTAACAAGCGTAAGTTAGTAAGTAAGTAACATGGTTAAAAAAGGTGTTCTGTAAACCTTTTCATTTGATGACAAAATATAATCGAGTTCCAGTTTAATTTTGTATATCAATCAACAAAAACATATAAAGCAGTAATTTCAAATTGAATGATTGACTTTAAAGAATTCAGTTTCAGGATTTAAAAATATAATAACACAATACTATTGAATGTTAATAGAATTTATAACACAATAAATAGAATTAATTTCAATAAAATGACAAAGTCATAATGATGATATCAAAACTTACTAAGCTTTAAATAAAACCAACTTAGATGATGGTTGGAGGTAGTCGATAGGAAATCCTGGACCCGGGTTTCGTACTACATGGTACTCGTCAGCAAAGTGTACCTGTAATCTTGAGGGCACTGGTGCTCCCTGGCGGATTTGATCTCGTGTCACCCAGCTTCACAGAGAGAGACGTTACCACTGAGCTATCCGAGTCGCGACCGATCTCCTGTAGGACTGAGATGTATTCACAATTGATTGATCACTGGGTGGTGATCAATGTCATGTCTGTCAAGTCCTTATTTAGTGCAAATCGAATGCTATCGACTATGTTGCAATGTGGCCACCAGTCTAGGTGACTCGACATTGCGGGCACTATATATTGAGATAAGATGGTGGTTGGAAGTAATCGATAGGAAACCCTGGACCATTATACATTATACAATCACAATTATATGTGAGATAAATTCTAAACACAGATTGGTTGTTTTATTTACACATATTCACATAAACATAAGTTTTAGTAAAAAAATAATAATAATAATTCAAAAATTAATATTTTTTCTAATAAATAAATCAAATGATCAAGTCCATAGTTTAATTGAACTTTATTTAACATTCAGTCTATTTTATTCACCTTATACTGAATTATAGTTTATTTATATGAATTGATTGAATGTTATATTATTTATGAAATTTATTTTCAATATCCTACATTCGTTTATTGTAAGTAACAGATTTGAAATAAGGAATATCTAGAAAATTCTATTACAAAAAAATTAATAAACAGTACACCATTTGTATCATCGTTTGTTTAAATTGACTTTAATTAAGTTAAAGTTGTAATTTATTATTTTTTTATTTATTTTTAATACTCATTACCATTTCATTACATTGTGTTTATTAAAGTTTTAACGATAAAAAACAAACAAACAAATCAACAAAAGATACTTACAAATCTTGATTAATTACATATCATATCTATTCTAAAAATTAAGGAAATCATTATCGTTGAAGAAACTAGAAATAATCTATTACTTCATTTTCAATGAATATGCTGATCAATTTGACGTCTTCTTCCTCTTCTCCTTCCTCTTCTTCTTCTTCTTCTAATGATTATATCAATGATGTCAAATTAAATGATAATGGTGAAGTGATCTTAAAACGTCGTGAATATTCAAATACTAAATGTTTATATTATTTATTTACTGAATTCTTTCAAAATACAACTGTTTATCTATATGTCATGACATTTTTATTTTGTGGTTTATTTTGTTTATCTATATTATTCATTATAAGTTATATAATAATTAATAATTTAATCATTATTCTATTAAATACTTTCAATATATATATCATCAATAATTATAAATTATCAATAATCAATATAAATTCAATAAATGAATTTCAATATTCAATTATTATTATTTTATTTATTCTATATATAATTTATTGGTTATGGGATTGGAATTCAGAAAATCATGGTGGACATCCAAAACAATTTATACGTTATTTAAAAATATGGGAATATTTAGCAGATTATTTTCCAATACATTTAGTAATTAGTAAAGAATTTATTAAATTTAATAAAATTCATAATCATCATATTAAACATCATTCTTATTTTATGAATTCTATTATGAATAATGAAGATTATAAAAATGATGATGATTTTGATAATGAATTAATGAAAGAAAATTTATCTATGGATGTTAATTATTTGGTTGGATTTCATCCACATGGAATACTTGCTACAGGAGCATTTATTAATTTTGCTACAGAAGCTACTGGTTTTTCAAAAGTATTTCCTAGATTTAAGCCATATTTAGCTATATTAAAAGCTCATTTTATAGCACCATTTTATCGAGATTTTCTAATGTTATTCGGTAAGTGTCTTATTATTATTATTATTATTATTATTTTGAGTGATAACTTGAATTGCTATATGTTGTAGTTATTTTTTATGATGTTTCGAAACATTGTTTAACTGCATCATGCGTTTGAAATCATTACACAGGAAGTCCTGAATCTTTTCCATGTTTACCGGTGTACATCAGAATATTGCACTACAAACCTTGAAAAATCTGATGCTTTAAGAATTCCAATATGTCATTCGGAATGTGATCATAGTAAATAAGTTAGTTTATTGACTTTTAATAGTGAACGTCAAAATCATCATTGTCGATTCCATGTATCTAAGTACTATTGGAAGCAAAAAATGAAGAGCAATAAATACAATAAAACGATATAAAGAAGAAAAGCAATGCTTATTCTGTATAAATTATCGGTAAATTCAGAGTTAAATATAGATCAGTATTATATTTTTTTTAGTTGATACACTGAATTATAAATCCATTTGGACTTCTTAGGTATTAAAAATTGATTTCTAGTAAAAAACAAGTGCTCATGAGAAAACTGGTACCATGTGAATATATACATCATACTATTCCTTAAAGATAAAACCCAATCTTTACATTTAAGCTACAGTATTTTGTAAGCAGGATTTAAATAACAGAATGAACGTGCGAACTAAAAGTTTTGTTCTCAAATACTTTCATTATATATATAATGCTAATTTGAATAGTTCAAAAAATTTTAAAAATGTGCTGTTCAATTATCTTTTCGAAGTTGTCTGTATTTATTGAATGTTGGTCTGTGCCAAAATAAAATTACCAAATTATTTGAAACAATCATAAGTTTATGCACTTGTAGTACACTGTACATAATAACAAATTTTGATTTGAATGTATTTCTCATTTTTTGGAGAAACATTTATAGAAAGAAAGGATTGAAAAGTTACTTCATCTCAGTCTAGAATTCTTTATTAATATCCATTAATGATTTCACACGCAATTTAGCACAATAAGAAAGAAACTTTGACATCACTGAATTTGACAGGTTGACCACGTAGTTGTTTGTGTTTTCTTCCATGGATGGTTTCGAGATCTTGATTAGTTTCGTCTTTAGGGTGTCTCTTCTTTGTTCTCTGTGTTGTTTGCATTATATCTTCATGGCTGTTGTCAAGATTCCCAAATGTTGTGACGTGAGTGTCCTTTGTAGCTTCAGTTTTTGGTCCTCTATTACGTGTTGGTATTCTGGGGATCCTGTAATGTGCATCCGTTATCATTAGGTGTACCATTTTTCTTCCACTTTGCTCAGCTACTCTACACCACAATGGGAAGTTGATTGGAGGTCTGTATCTTACACTTGTTGGTAGAACATTCAGGCTACCATATCAATGAATTAAAATTTAATAGTCCACAACCATAAAATGCTTCAATTTATTATGTAGCTATTGAGGGCTGTTTAGTTCCTTCAAACGATGTCAATTTATTAATATGATTACCTTCAAAACTTAATGACATCTTTAAAAAATGAATGATGGTATGTAGACATGATATTTATTATTTTGTCCAAAGTTTAAATGTTTTTTTATTGTTGTTATACGAATGTTACATTTTCGTACGATGTATCTTTCAAGTACTTCAATTTTAAACGTATAAATTAGGATCAAAGATATGTAATTTTTGAGGTCCCACAGAAACACATTAGATAGGTATTACATAACAGTTAAATATTGTTTTAATATCTAACACATTCTGTAAATGTTCTGAGTAAATTTACTATGTTGCTAGTAATGTTTCTATTCTAGTCTGATTTTCTATTAAACTATTTTATGATTAATTAAACTGTGATTTTCTATGAGAAAAAGATTAGCAATTTCCTTAATAGGTTGAGTTTGTGCTTTGTATGGTTAGATTAATTTTCATTGTTCTAATATTTAGAATAAATTTATATCATACTAATTAATGTTTTCCTTTATATAAGAATAAACTAACTTATCTGAAATTCATCAATATATAGTGTTGAGATATATGAAAGCTTATAGAGATTGAATGAAGTTTAAAATATAGTTTTTATCATGACATTTAGAAAGTATTGAATATGCCTTTGTTCTTGTTCTCATCACTCCTTCAATTGAAACTACAAATAAACTCAAAAAAGAATTGATTAAAGAGACAGATAATATTAAGTTAATTGGTTTAGAAACTATTTCTGATCAGTCAGGAACTCTTATTTCCTAGATCTAGTTAAAAGATGGTTATTATGTTCTTACTGATAAGGATTTACTAAGTAGAATACATAGCTATTCACTACTGTTTTATATTTAATGATAACGTCATATAGGGAAACCGTATCCTTAAATTTAGTAAATTGATTTATAAGCATTTTAATGAGAAAAATGTAAGTGGAAGGTTAACAGTTCGTTTGATAAGTGACTTGTAAACAAAATTTTAGAGTGAAAATTTGTTAGTAATAATGGCTTAAATAGTGGTTCACAGGACTAAGGTAAACATTTCATGCACAGTTATTAATAAACTTGATTGAACCTTTGTTTAAAATATCATAAGGTCAGTATATATATCGAATCATTTCCTGTCATTCATGTTTATTTCACCACTAAATATGTTTAGCACATTTTAAATAAACATATATGTTTCAACAAATCGTTTTATAAACAGAACAATGTTTAACCAACTATTTTCAATTAAATTATAAAATAAGTTAATAATGATGGTGATTTCAACCAACAAGTTAGAGAACCAAGAAATCTGTTTATTGAAACGCTAAAAAATATCAGACGATAAACTATCCATTTATTGTCTGTTTTTATTACTATAGATGGATTAATGGGTATCTGGTCTCAGTAGCTTAATAGATGACTCAACGTTTGAAGCGAAAGGTACTCGGTTCGATTCTTAGTGTGATCCTAAACATGGAGATCCAGGCATATACAGCTTACAAGTACCGAATAGAACAAAACGTGTATCGTTGACCATAATCCTGTCCATAATTTATCTATCCTAAAATTGGTAACAAAGTGGCTATTTCGAGGCAATCCGCTCAGAAAGTACGTATACAAGAAAGAAAACGGGTCTAGAATATTATCAACAGAATAATTCAAACCCTATCCAATAAAAATGCGCCTATTAGCGTCGAAGTTAATGGCAGTTTGTGAACACAAAGTGAAATATATCTTTTAAAATAAGAAATTTTTGTGGAGATCGCAGTAATTTCAATAGTTGAGATCATGACTCGTTTGAAGCTAGACCACCATAGGAAACCTGAAAGCACTGGACGGCCATTTCGTCCTATTGTGGGACTCCTCAGCGATGGGCATCATGGCCCCGCCCCGCGGGATTCGAACCCAGGGCCAATCAGTCTCGCGAGTGAGCGCTTAACCACTAGACCACTGAGCCCGTCGGCATCCAACGGTGATAATGTCTAACTTTAACTAATCCACGAAATTGAATGACACATCCACCATTGTCACCAGTGAGTTCCTGCCTCACAACTGACACGGTTGAACTCCACCGGTCAATGCTTCTCACTAGAATTATAGGATATACCTTTTGAAGCCAGTCACTAGTAAGCACATGTTGACTGTTATCAGAGGGGGTTTTGTAGAGATTTCAGTAATTTCAATAGTTGAGATCATGATTCAATTGAAGCTATAGATTTAGAAAGGATTACCTTGAACTTTAAACATAGTGACTAATTCAGTAGAATAACTATCCCTAAGTTAAATAGAAACCCTTTCGTAAATTCAAAAATATATTTTATGAAGATTGATAAATGTCTATACGGTAAACAGATTATGATTTGATCGCTCATTCGTTTTGAAAATAAATCCCAAATTCATCATCCAAGTCTAATGTTCCATTGATAACTCTACTAAGATGAAAAGTCATTTTTTTTATTAATCATAGTCAAGATCGGCAACAAATTATACTGTCAAATAGTAAATGTTAATATCGTGAAAAAACGGCTGGGAGGCATCTAAGAGTAAAAACTCACTCATGAATTAAAAGATTAGAAATCATTAGATGGTCCCTCATGTATAAAGAGTTTTAGTATCCGACATCAAATAAACCATGCACTACAACACACACGTTGTAATGTCATGGCTTATTCACTAAAGATAAATTTTATGACGTCAGTTTAATTAGAAAACTGTTTTTTGAAAGAGAAAAATAACTATGATCCAATGGTAAATTCCTGGGAGATTTTAAGAAAGAGGAATATTTTTAAAAATTTTAATTTCAGCACTCGAAAACAGTTTCCTTAACTTCGCGTGATTAATTTAATCACATCGTTATTTTTATTCTTCGATTTTAGATAACTCAGTTTCATCGTAACACCTGGTCGTCTATATACACATTTATAATTTGTGAACAACTTTTGCCGTTTAGATGCTTTTATCGTAGATTTGAGAATCCTCTACCTGATTACACATAAATTACATTTGGTTTCAGGTACTAAGCTTAATTATTTCCTTATGTATTTTATTTGATGTCATAATTGTAGCACAGCCCTTGGAATGTGGTTTTTTCTTCAACGGTCTTAAATTGTTATGGACTTAATAATAGTGATAGCTTTTGTAATTTCAAGTTATCCTTAGATAATTAGAGGCCATAAGACTAATGTGTCGGTAAAAATAAACAAATTTCTTGTTCGTTTATTTTTTGGGCTCGTACAATTGAACCGTAAGACAAGGGAGCTATTGTATACATATAGTCTGAGTATCGATTAGTTCGGTAGGAAGAAATACAATATACCTACAGTAATTATCTTTAAGAACCTAATATCGTATTTTACACAAGTTTGTGTAGCCCAGTTTTGAACTTCAAGGACGATTTGTTTGGGGAGTATTTGCTCTTGATTAGCATATACCGTACTTTGGTTTTGATAGTTTTTCGAACATCATCACTTTTGTCAAAGAAATAAACCTTGTCAAGTAATGACGTTAGCGTTAGAGAAAGATATAATCAATTTCACTGAAATCATGAACCGATCAATGTTAGATTACCATTGAAAACTTGGA